AGGTAAAGACATTTCATATGAATGGAAGTCCTCAGCAGAGAAACAGAAACTATGGGGCTGGGGATGTGGCTCAGGCGGTAGTGCGCTCTTGCCTGGCATGCCTGCGACCCGGGTTCGATCCTCAGCACCACATACAAACAAAGATGTTGTGTCTGCCGAGAACTGAAAAATAAATATTAAAAAAAAAAAAAGGAACCAAGTGGAAATTTTAGAACTGAAAAATATCTGAAATAGTAAAGATACTGGATAGGATCAATAGCAGAACAAAGATGACCGAGGAAAGAATCTGTGAACTTGGCTACAACAGCAGAGTTAAATAGTACCAATGAGATCCTATGGCTCCCAATGCCTAAAATATTTACTATCTGATGCTTTACAGAAAAAGTTTGTTGACCCCTGGTTTAAACACATCAATCAGAAGACTGAAATCGTCAAACTGGATTTTTTTTTTTTTTTTTTTTTTTAAGAGAGAGAGAGAGAGAGAGAGAATTTCAGTTTTCGGCAGACACATCTTTGTTGGTATGTGGTGCTGAGGATCGAACCCAGGGCACACGCATGCCAGGCGAGCGCGCTACCACTTGAGCCACATCTCCAGCCCCTCAAACTGGATTTAAAAAAATGATCAAACTATATGCTATTCATAAAAAAATGCACTTTAAATAAAATTAATGATATAGGCTAAAAGTAAAAGGACGGGAAAAGATATACTATGAAATATGCTGGTACAAAAATGTAGAGAAAACTGAGTGGCTACATTATAAATATTACTGGGAATAAAGGGGGATATTACATATGATTAAAAAGGCCAATTTGCCAAGGCATAGCAATCCTAAATGTGTAGGCACCTGACCAAAGAGCTTCATTATGCATAAAGCAAAAACTGATAGAAAGATCAAATAGACAAATCTATGATCATACTTTAATACTTTAATATTCTACCTCAATTTGAGATGGAATAAGCAGAAAATCAGCAAATATATAGAAGATCAACATCATCAAGGAACTTGACTTTTTCTCTCTCTTTTTTTTTTCAATATTGGGAATCAATCTAATTGACATTTATACATTACTCAACCAAGTAATAACAAAACGCATTTTTTCAAGTGAACCTTGAGCATTTAACAAGATAAACCATATTCTAGACTATTTAAAATATCCACAAATTTATAAGTATTCAAATCATACTAAATTTGTCCTCCAACCAAAATGAAATTAAACTAGAAATCAGAAATAAAAAGAATGCCATGGAGGGAGTGTGAGATGGGGAGCAGGATATTGCCCAAATGTAATGACACAACACTTCTACATAGCATATAGGTAAAAGACGAAGTTGCAAAGAAAATTAGAAAATGAATGAACATTTAAAACATAGCACATTAAAATTAAGGCACTGCTTAGAGGGAAACTTATAGCATTAAATTTTTTTTAAAAAATTATTTTTATTTTTTAGTTGTAGTTGGACACAATACCTTTATTTTATTTATTTATTTTTAGGTGGTGCTGAGGATCGAACCCAGGGTCTTGCATATGCTAGATGAGTGCTCTACTGCTGAGCCACAACCCAGCCCTTAAATTCTTAATTAGGGCTGGAATTGTAGCTCAGTAGCACAGTGCTTGTGAGGCACTGGATTCAATCTTCAGCACCACATGAAAATAAATAAATAAAATAAAGGTATTGTGTCCATCTACAATTAAAAAAAATATTACATTAGAAAGATCTCAAATCAATAACCTTCTAACCTAAAGAAATTTGAAAAAAGACAATCAAGAAAAGCCCAAAGCAAGCAAAAGGAAGATAAAAGGCACAGAAATCAATGAAGCAGAAAGCAGAAAAATCAATAGGAAAAAACATCAATGAAATCAAACAACTTTTTGGAAAAAAAAATAAAACAGATAMGCCTCTAGTTACAATAAYAAAGTAAAAAAGAGAGAAGACAAATTATCAATGTCAGGAATGAAAGAGAAGACCTCATTACAATTAAGGAATTACTACCACCTACTTTATGCTCTTAAATTCTTCAATCTGGAAAAAAAAAATCAATTCTTTGAAAGGCACAAACTTCCAAAGCATACTCAAGAAGAAACAAGAAACTGGAACAGTCTTATATCTACCAAGGAAATTGAATTTATAGTTATATACCTCCCAATACAGAAAGCTTACCCAATACTTAATTGAGAAACTATTATAAATTCTAAAGTATCTTTCAGAATATAAGTGAGAACACTAAAAATAATACTGATGAAAGAAATCACAGAAGACCTAAATAAATGGAAAGATACATGTGCTCAGGAACCAGAAGACACAGTATTTTAAAATATTGGTTTTCCCTCAAATTAATAGATTCAACTCAATGTCTACCAGAATCAGTGTGATTTTTTTTTTTTTTGACACTGACAAGCTGAATCTGAAGTTTTTATGGAAAAGCAAAAGGATACATGGAGGGCCAAAACAAATTTGAAAAATAAGAATAAAGTCAGAATAACTCATCACTTGATTTTAAGATCTGCTATAATGCTACATTCATCAAGACAATGTAGTATTGACAAAGGATAGACATACAGATCAATGAAAAACAGAATAGCGAATCCAGAAATAGATCAACACAAATCTGGTCAATGATTATTGACAATGTTGCAGACGATTCAGTAAGACAAAGGATGCTCCTTTCAACAAATGATGGTGGAATTATTGAACATCCATCGATATGCCAAAATATAAACCTTCACACTACACGCAAAATTATATCAAAATGAATTATAGGATATCTCAAACCCTTATTAAGGTGTAGGCATTCTCCCTCTCATACACATACACACATAAAACACCAAATTACCTGAAGAACTTAATTTCTCCAGTGTTTCCCAGACTTGTCTAATAAGAACCAAAGACAATTTGTTGAAAATAAATATTCCCAGGCCCTTTCCCTGGAGATTTTAATTCAATGGTCTAGACTGGGAGGGAGAAAGTTGCTTGTAAAATGTACCTCTTCCTCAAGGAACTTTTATTATCAGACAAGTTTAGACAAGTTTTCAACCACCATTCATAATTCTTTCTTAGTTTCAACATCAAGCAAAAACATTTTTAATGGTCTATTTAGTTATGTTCTGAATGTTCTCTAGTATACTAGGATGGTCATTTCTATAGTGAAGTAATCATATTCCTGAAAAATTCAAGATGATTCACTGGAATATGAAAGAAAAATATTGATTTTCTATAATATTTACTTTAAATCTCAAAAGTTTTTCCTTTTTTAAAAAWTTTTTTTTAGTTGTCAATGGACCTTTATTTTATTTATTTATATGTGGTGCTGAGAATCGAACCAAGTGCCTCACACATGCTAGGCAAACGGTCTTATCACTGAGCCACAACCCTAGCCCCTCCTTATTTTTAAAATTTTTTTTGTATATATATATATATGTGTGTGTGTGTGTGTGTGTGTGTGTGTGTGTGTGTGTATACATATTTAGTTGTTGATGGACCTTTATTTTATTCATTTATTTATACATGGTGCTGAGAATAGAACCCAGTGCCTCACACATCCTAGGCAAGTGCTCTACCACTGAGGTACAACCCTAGCCCACTTCAAAAGTTTTCTATTTTAGGAATATGTTTTATAATGTACACAGTAAATCGGTGCAACAGGGCATGTAAATAATTTTTCCCTCATGGTAGGATGTATAAAAAAAAAAAAGTAGAAACCACTGCTCTAGGGCTCCTGATTTACGATTGTTTCCTCTAAAGCTGACCAATCCTCAGCCTCTGTCCTATTTCACAACAAGACCCCCACAATCTTCATATATAATCTTTCTACCACTCTGGCTACCAAACACCATGATGCCCATATTCATGTCTCAGGCATAAAAGCACCATCATTCTAGAGAAAGGACACAGGGACACAGTTCTTTTCCTCTACCAAGAGCCAAAAAAGTATGTGTTACATTATCTTTAGAAAGAAACCTGGAAGATGCTTACCTCTTTATATTATTATTACTATTATTATTATTAGTGGTGGTGGTGGTATTGAACCCAGAGCCTTGTGCATACTAGGCAACTAGGCAAGCACTCTGTATCACTGGGCCACATCCCCAGCCCTTTTTATTTTTTATTTTGAGATAGGGTCTTGCTAAGCAGCCGAGGCTGGCCTTGAATTTTTGATCCTACTGCCTCAGCCTGCACAGCTGGGATTACACCATGCCCATTTCTTTACACTTTTCCTAATGTTGAGTAGATATCTAACTGGCATTTGAGGACTCAGTTCTCTTACTTAGTTGTAATTTCAATCCTTCAGAGGTAACTATAAAGTTTCATGAGTATGATAATCTGATTTTACTGAGTCACAAATGTGAATCAAACAGACTTTTGAGCTGGTATGAAGACCAAATCACTTAGATGATGAGTACACCAAGCTAACCAAACTATACTATTCTTTATACTCATTACTATGAAAGTCAGGAAAGGCTTCTTTTAATTTTTTAGTTATCCTCCTCAATTTGGTCTTCCCCAATTACAGACAAAGATTAATGTAAACACAAATATGTATTTTTGARTTAAAGATCACTAAAATCATAACCACTACCATGTGGGATTTGGGGAGTTTTTGATTGGCACTGAAAATAACTATCAGGGGTTGGGGTTGTAGCTCAGTAGTAGAGCACCTGTCAAGCACATGTGAGGAAGTGGGTTTGATCCTCAGCACCACATGAACATAAGTAAATGAAATAAAGGTATTAAAAAAAGAAAAAGAACTGTCATAAAGGACTGGATATTACTGATTATTGTAACGTGGGTATTCATGAACCAGAGTACTCAATTCACAAACTGCTAAGGATGTGTTCAATGTCAAAAGTGTTAAACCATAGCTGTTAAGAACTCTTCTTAGGGTAGAATTCTAGGGTAAACCTGAACTGTGTTCAGAAAAAATAACATTAAGCTTCCTTTTTCTCCTGCCAACCTCCCAAATCAATAACATATCTCAAATAAGGGCCTTCTCTTTTCTCACCCTCCAGAATATCTTCATAAAGTGCATGTACTCCTTCAGGCACAATGACAGCCAGTGCAGTTCCACAGAGAAGGCCAGCACCCAAAACAGTCACCAGTTTCAGTCGCTCCTGGAAAGAAAACAAGAGAAACCACTTAAGAGACTGATTAATGAATGGGGAAGTCTGTGAAGTATCTATCATCAACTATATGAACTGTGTATTTGTGAGACCCATACCTACAATGGCCAGTAAACATGAAAAACAGTCAGCTTAATGAATAATTAATGCCAATTAAAGCACKGAGGACACATTGGTGCACACCTGTAGTTCCAGCTATTCAGGAGGTTGAGACAGGAGGATCCCACATGGTACAGTGGGCAAGTTTGCATAGCATGGGCGAGATGCTGGGTTCAATCCCCAGTACTCCAAAAGAAAAGAAAATATAAAAAGCCACAAAAATGTGAATTCTCGTTGGTGCTCTCTCCCCTTCTCCTTCCTATGCCTCATCCTTCCCCAAAGTTTAAGGTAAAAGTGAATTTTTTGATTCAGAAATTTCACTTCTTGAAATTGATCATGAGGAAGAACTAATCAAAGATGACCACCACACTTATTAAGAGTGCAAACCTAAGAGAACTTAAATATCCAAGAAAGGAGATTAGCTAACTAAGGTGTAGCACTTCATCACAGTACCACAGCACTCAGCCAGAAAAATTATAATATATCTCAATGTCTATTCATCGATATACAAAGTCATGATGTGCTGCTTTGTGGAAAAAGCTGATGGTAAACAATATGTATTAATAATTTCATATTTATTTTAAAAGAATACATWAAAGTTGAATAAGCACACATTCAACATAACAAATTTTTACTTTATAAGCATATGATATGTAACATAATATATAATTTATAAACATTTGTGATTTATCTACAATGAACATGTATTATTCATATGATTAAAAAATGCATTTAGATGTCAATACTAAAATTGTTCTATAGTTTTAATCCAACTTAATTCCAATTATTTTCTTTTTACCCTGGCTTGTCTGAGAGACTGTTTCCTGTCAAACAAAATAAAAAAATTCAGGTTTCAAAGTATGTTGAAGCAACAGTGTATCCTAATACGGCTTCCATGTATCTTAGAAGTATAAAAAATGATCCTATAAACTGCAGTCGGGGGATGAGGCTCATTAATAGAGCATGTTCAGTGTGCACAAGGCCTTAGGTTTCATCCCCAGTACCCAAAACAAAAGTACAAGGGGTGTTTATATATGTGCTTATAAATAAGTTTCAGTAATTTAATGATACATTATATATTTAATCTTTCTATTTCAGTTTCCTTGAGGAGATTAGCAAAAGTAACAGGAGCTACATTACCTCTGATAGTCTACTGAATTGTGAGGCTGGGGGCCTGACTAGCTTTTTCATATTCTTTTTGCAATACTGAGGATTGAAACTGGGGGTACTCTACCACTACTCTACCCCTCCAGACGGATCTGTCTATCTATCCATCCATCCATCCATCCAAGCACAAGTTGTCCAGGCTGGTCTCAAACTTGTGATCCCTTCTATCTCAGCCTCACAAATCCCTGGGGACTATACCTGGCTCCTAACTTTTATAAATACTATTTATACAGGAAAATAGGTTCTTAGTTGAAAGACTGGTTGAAATGTTGCTGACTCCTTGTTTAGGCAGGGGGGTCTATGTCTCATTGCATCTATTGAAAAAAGGGGAAATACTGCTGCAATGTCAATACCAGCTTCTACTTGCCTTGTGGCAAGAGGTCCCCCATTCCCAGTACACAAGCCAGGCCAGCTCTTCATACATTCAACTTGGCCATTAGCTGAAAGAAGCAGTCTGAATTTATCCAGGGGCTGGGGCATTGGTTGAGAAGCCTGCACTGAATCCATGACCTAATCCATTAACAATTCAGTATCTCAATTTTTCTTCTGTGAAATAAGAATATTTCTATGTATTTTGTTTTGTGGTACTGAGGACTGAACATAGCACTCTACCACTGAATGAACTCCCCAGGCCTTTATTTTGAGACAAGTCCTCACAAAACTGCTGAGGACGGCCTCAAATTTGCAATCCTCTTGCTCCAGCTTCTGGAGTAACTGGGATTACAAGCATGTGCCACCACATCCAGTTAGAGTATTTCTTTTTTTATTTTTCTTTCTTTCTTTTTTCTTTTTCTTTTTTTTGTACCAGGGATTGGACCCAGAAGCACTTAACCATTGAGTCACATCCCCAGCCCTTTTCTATATTTTATTTAGAAACTGGGTCTYGCTGTGTTGCTTTCAGCCTTGCTAAATTGCTGAGGCTGGCTTTAAACTTATGATCCTCTTGCCTCAGCCTTCTGAGCTGCTGGGAATACAGGTATTGCACACCCAGCTTAGAGTATGTCTACTATTTTGTGAAGATATAGGAGGCAACAGAAAAAAGTGATTGAAGCATTCTGGGAACTGAACAAATGGTATCTATCACTCTTTTACTATTTAATATTGAGTTATTCTAAGATTCTTTTCCATGTTATTAAACTCCTCAAAACACTCTTAATCACAGTATTCAATGAGACAAACTGTGAGAATGGGAACACAAGAGGAAAAAACAGGTCTGTGCTACGTAAAATTCGACATGATAATTGGTCTTTTCAGTATTCTAACCAATGTATAAATGTCATCTTAATTTAAAAGTATTATTCTTAAAGAGGAACAAAACTCAGGGGGCTGAGGTTGTGGCTTAGTGGTAGAGCGCTTGCCCAGCATGTGTGAGGCACTGGATTTGATCCTCAGCACCATATAAAAATAAACAAATAAAATAAAGGTAAACACCAATAAAAAAAAATAAATAAATAAATAAAGGTAAGTGTCCATCTACAACCAAAATAAAAAATTTTAAAAAATCAGGGTAAAATTGAACTGGACCCATTATGTTAATTCCTTTTAGGGACTTAGTTTTGTAACTCCATAATTCAAATCAATGAATAAATTGCTAGGGAAGAAAACTGTCCTGACAGAATTTTTACAGTGCACCACTCTGAGAAACAGATATGAAAGATGCCCCTGCTTTGCAAATTAAGAGAAGATGAGAAGTGATGAGAGGAATGTACTAAAAGAGGAAGAGCTGATTGCTTGCAACAATTATTTGGGTGGTAGCTCACATCATACAAAAAAATTCATGATGGACTATATTCCTAAATATATACCCCAAACTCAAAAGCTTCTAGAAGAAAATGTAGAAGAATATCTTTGCAATTTTAGGACTGGCAGAATTTTCTCAGCAAGGACACACAAAAAAATGAAAAAAATAAAATAAAATAAAAAAAAAATCAACATCAAAATTTAAAATGCTTGCTGACTCATTAAGAAAATGCACAGACAAGCTACAATGTGGAAAATATTCACAATGCATGTTTCTGTAGTGGAGATACATATATCTGTGATGAATGCTGTGGTGATACTGTTCACTTCGGTCCCCTACTGGCTGGAGTCACCTGTTCCCCAGACTGCTAGGAATGTTGCCTACCTAAGGCTCACAGCCAAGTCCCTTTGAGGAAATAAGCAAATGACCAACATGAGGTTCAAGCCCTTCTCCCAGGGCAGTCCACACCCAGTAACTAGCCATGGAGCTGTGTGGGAGAGAGGCAGAAAGTCTAACCCCTTTGCCTCAGAGGTCAGGCTATCTCAGAGAGCTATCCAGCTTCAGAGCCTGCTGTGAGGTGAGCTGAGGACTCTGGAATTCAACTGCAACTGAATTACCCTTTACCTTCTCTCTCTGCCAAATCCTGCTCATTTTCACACAGGTGTTATTCCCAGAAGCACGCCCCAATAAAGTTCCTGCATGCAAATCTCTGCTGGTTTTCTAGAGAACCCACCCTAAGACACTGACACAGCACTTGTATTAGAAATATAAAGAACTTCTACAATTCAAGACCAAGAAACAAACAGCCCAACAAAAAATGGGTAAAATACTAACCAGAGTATTTCACAAGAGATATGAGCTAGTCAATAAACCCACGAAAAGATGCTCAACAACATTTAGTCCGCAGAAAAAATGCAAATCAAAACAATGTAATATACTTTTTCATATTTTCTAATTTTTTTCCAGATTTTATATTGATGCATTATAATTATACACAATAATGGAATTCACTACTAACATATTTGTACATGCATACAATATAACAATATAATTTGGCCAATTTCATTCCCTAGTACCTTGCCTGGTCTTCCCCTCCTCCTTSCCCCTGCTCTACTGATCTCCCATCTATTTTCATTAGACTCCCCCACCATGAATCTTATTTTCCCTTTTCTCTAACTTCCACATGAGAGAAAACATACAATCCTTAACTTTCTGGGTTTGGCTTATTTTCCTTGATTATGCTCTTGAGTTCCATTCATTTTCCTCAAAATGCCATAATTTCATTCTTCTTTATGGCTGAGTAAAACTCATTGTTATATATACACACATTTTCTTTCTCTACTCATCCACTGATGGACATCTAGGTTGATTCCATAATGTGGCTATTGTAAATTGTATGGGTATGGCTGTATCCCTATAGTACGCTGACTTTAATTCTTTAGTGGTATAGCTGGGTCATACGGTGGTTCCATTCCTAGTCTTTTGAGGAAGTGACGTAGTGATTCCCATAGTGGTTGTATTAATTTACAATCCCACCAATGGTCATACCTACTTAAAAATGGCCAAAATTAGAGAAACTGACAATGCTAAATAATGACAAGGATATAGAGCAACTGGAACACTTGGGAGCAACCTACTTTGGGAAATTGGCAGTCTCTTGTAAATTTAAACCAACATTCCCCTTTTGGGTATTTACTCACGAGAAATAAAAACTCATGTCCACATAAAACTGGTACAAGAATGTTCATAAAAGCCTAAATAAGAGTCACAATCTAGACTGGATGWATAGCAAAAGGAGACTGGATAAATATGTAGTGGAGTCCTTAAGCAACTGAATACAGCTCAACAATCAAGAGGCAAAAATTGCTGCTACATACAGCAACATGAATCAATCTCAGAAGCATTTTCCTGATATTGAGTGAAAGAAGCCCTACCCAAAACAAATATGTATTTCTACGAAGTTTTAAAACAGACCAAACTAACC